ACAAAATAAATAAAACTCCTAGTCAGACTTATCAAGGAAAAAAAGAGTCTAAACACATAAACAGAATCAGAAATGAGAAAGGAAAAATCACTATGGACACCACAGAAAGAATTATTGAAAATACTATGAAAAATTATAAGCTAACAAACTGGATAACCTAGAAGAAATGGACAACTTTCTAGAAAATAAAACCTTTCAAGACTGACCCAAGAAGAAACAGGGAATCTGAACAGACCAATTACTGGCAAAGAAATTGAGTTGGTAATAAAAAAACTACCCAAGAACAAAACCCCTGGATCAGATGGCTTCATCACTGAATTTTATCAAACACTTAGTGACCTAATTCCCCTCCACCTTAAAATTTTCCAAAATGTAGAAGAGGAGGGAATACTTCCAAACTCATTCTATGAGGCCAGATCACTCTAATACCAAAACCAGGCAAAGACACCACAAATAAAGAAAATTACAGACCAATATCCCTGATGAACATAGATGTGAAAATACTCAACAAAATATTAGCAAACCAGATTCAAAAATACCTCAAAAAGATAATCCATCATAATCAAGTGGGATTTATTCCAGGGATGCAAGGATGGTACAATATTAGAAAATCCATCAACATCATCCACCACATCAACAAAAAGAAGAACAAAAACCACATGATCATTTCCATAGAGGCTGAAAAAGCCTTTGACAAAATTCAACATCCATTCATGATAAAACCTCTTTCAACAAAATGGGTATAGAGGACAAGTACCTCAATATAATAAAGGCTATATATGAAAATTCCACAGCCAACATCATACTTAACAGTGAGAAGCTGAAAGCTTTTCCTTTAAGATTGGTAACAAGACAAGGATACCCACTCTCCCAACTTTTATTCAAAATAGTTCTGGAGGTCCTAGTTCTGGCAATCAGACAGCACAAAGAAATAAAAGGCATCCAGATTGGTAAGGAGGAAGTTAAACTTGATGTTTGCAGATGACATGATACTGTACATAAAAAAAA